CGCACATTATACGTATCATATGGAAATAGATATCGACTGCACGGTTGGCGCGGTGGCTGGGCAACTGGCTGCCGCGCAACGTGTCGCGGGTTCGATTCCCGCACGGAACAACTCTTTGTGTGTGGTCCACAGATTGTTGTTCCGGGTCTGAGTGTCATGTGTATGTGATATTATATGTTTGTAAACGCACCCACGACACGAAAATCCTAGTGTGGGGCAACCACACTAGGATTTTCTCCTGTGTTTAAAAAAAAAAAAAACAAAAGATACCTAGTCCTTTCTCCCATAGTCATGATACCCTTTAGGTACATGTGTATAGTACCGATGTACGTTATGAATGCCTAACAAATGAAAGTGGGTGTTCCATTAAGTTAGTTCGTCTCTGCCTACGTTTTCGTGGAAAAATGCTTAGTATTATATTGATACACATGTTTGTATACTATGACCTTTAAAAGATATTGGCATTGATGCCAAATATAATTTTATTTGACTAGTCTAGACTAAACTCTTTTATGCTCTAACTAAAGTGATTATTGTAAAACATTTTATATTGATGCAAAAATTAATTTTGACCAAAAAGTATGAAGCCGTTTTCATTTTAAACATCTTTTTTTTCTTTTATTTACAATAAGTACAGGATTATCCATTTAAAAAAGGCAACCAAAAACCACAAAGGTTTAAACTTGAGCTATCATGAATCAATCTCAAAATCGATTTTTTATAATATGAGGTTTTAATTGATTTCGTTTAATAACATCATTTATTGTAGATATTAATTAACATTTTTGTGTAAAGATCTCATTTGAAGCGTTTTCTGTGTAATTTTTAGACAAAGTTTTATTTGAAAAATTTGATTCGTTTTATTGTGTATACTCCAGACTGTAACATTACAATCGCATGTTTTACTTTTTTAATCGGACTTCAACTTTATTTCTTATATGACTAAACTATGACTAAATTTAACCTCTTTGTCCATAGCGGCCGCGGCAGCAGAGCCTCGGTGGAGTCCTGAGACGAGAAGGCAACTGGAAATGCTTCATGCTAACCCTGATGATTGCTGGCTGCCTCGGCTCCGTCGCCTGGTGCAACACCGCCGAAATCGACAGAGACCTCATTGATTTTAGCAAGTAAGTGTTACCATGTTTAAAAATAGAAAGCCCTAATAAAGATGTAATTATAAATTACCCACACTGCCTATAAAAATCTCTCAAAATTTTGGTGAACCTATTACAAATGTACTTTGTAGCCAATTTAAACAATCAATATCAGGTACTTAAGTTAGGCTATAAAATAAAACAAAATTATGGCTACATTTTGATAGCCCGTCCCAATTAAATTACTCCATCGAAATAACGGCTATCAATTTCGAGTTTCAAATTTAAATGAACTTAATTGGAACACACTTAAATTCAAATTTTAATTTTGGAACGCTTTTAGTTTGTACGTTATCGAATCGTTGCAAGTATCATATGGCAACATTTCATTTATTTTTGTTGTATTTAAATAATTAATGTATTAAAATGTCGGTTTGACATGTTTAATTATGTTTGGAGTGTAATGGAGTTTGTAACGAACTTTACTTATTAAACGACAATGAATTTGGACAGGAAATACGTGGTATACAATGACTCGTGTTATACAATGACTAATTGACTAATTCGGAACTATTCAATTATTATTTATGTTGATTATGTTAATGCAATGAACTCTATGCATGAATATTAACTTATTTTCAGTTTTGTAATGCATTCTCAGCTTAATTTATATTATAATTGAAGAGTATAACAAAATTAACTAACTACGTATTATTATTTGTGAAATATTAATTTCAGCTTAAACAGACCAAACTAACCACTAAATTAGTTTTGTGTCCGTCAGGCATCCTATAAAACGGACGGTCCGTGAGTCGCCCTGTGATGTAGGATACGCCTACATCCCCATCGCCTTTGTCCTGCTACTCTACTTGGTGTACCTGGTGGAATGCTACCATAGTACTGCCAGGATACAGCTGGCGAGGAGAGTGGATGTGGCTGCTGTCAGCGCCAGGGTACATGCCATGAGAAACGCTACGCCACGAGTCTGGTAAGAAAATAATTTGAAAACTAATTTAAATAATTTGAAAACTTATGTAGAACTTAACTGTCTAAGACATAAAATGTATAAAATTGATTTGTTGACTGAAACTTATTAAATATATGAAATTTTATTAAGTGTAGTTACATCATCAATGTACACAAAATAAAAAAAAAACAAAACAATCACTTTGAAATTAAACAAATTTCAGCTTTCACACACATTCTGAGAATTTCTAATAAATTACAATTCTGCTAAAACATTTATATGGTTCATAAAGTGGAAGGCACACTTTCGTAAATTAATTTTACTCAACTGATTAAAGTTTAGTACATACATACGTACCTACAGCTTTTATGTTAACGAGTGAGCTAGTTCATGATTTTGATATGTTCCGTGCTCAGAGATAATTTGACCAAGTAGCTGTCGAAAAAGTGTCATCATGACATAATATGTTGGTAATGAGACCAAGCATACCATTTGCACAGAATGGTAGATATGAAAATAAGACATTCAATCATATTTTATCTATTAACTTGGGAATGACTCCTGAACGCAGAACTCACATTGAGGGCGGTATCATAAAACACAGGATATAAAATTGTAGAACACGAATATTTCAACTTACCATGCGCACATGCCAGCAACTTAATATATAAAAAGAATTTTCTCGAATTTCTACCCACATCTGAAGCAAAATCAGATATTTCAGTATTATTTCCCTCTTCGTAATTCTATAGAGGACAATTTTATTTGAAAAGCAAAATGCAGTTTGGCCCAGAACGTTTTACCTTCAATACAAATGCATAACAAGTTATTTCATTTTATGCATTTTTAACTTTATCGTCTTGTGCTAAAGTCGAAAATGTTCCTCTGTCCCTATTGGTGCATTTTTGTGTGTCACCATCCACGGTTCGAAATTGTATCAACCTACGTCAAGTGACGTTATATGCATACTTATGTGTGTGACGGCTGACAATTTTCTGCGACACTTTATGCCAGTAGATACGGAGGAGTGTAATATTCAAATATTTTATAGTCAAGTTGCTCCATTCTGATTTCTTATAAACATTTGAACAGTGAATTGAAACGTTTCCCAGCAAATGGAAGATACGTAAAGTATTTGCTTTGTTTTGAGACAATGGTTAAATGTCTTATATTAATATCTTTTGTTGTTATCGTCATTTGCATCGTCTTTTCAAATAAATTAGTCCTTAGACATAGATTAAATATTATATTGCTGGCAAAGTTACATGGCCTTTTGGGGTCTAATAAGATTCATTCCTGATACAAAACGTCGTAGTTTTCGATTTTCAAATCACAGAAATAAACTATTAGGTACCTGTTATTAGACAAGCTGATAAAGTTAGCCAGTATTTTTTTCTGTGAAGTTTTCTAATGAGATGACTTGCGCTTAAAACCAATGCCAAAACAAATAACAATAGATTAACTGATGACAGGATCAACTTAATTCCACCATCACTTGGCAAATACAAAAATTTTGCAACCAACTTCATCACTCGGCGAACACAATTTTTTACCATTTTTTGCCTTCATCCAACCGGCCATGTCCTCCAAACATAAGAATGTAGCACGTGCCGAATCTTCAATTCCTTACACTCCTCGCACTCAGAGCTCACTTGAACGTCATTATGAATGGAACCTTACCTGTCTTAAGTACTGTTTCTTTTTTAATTAATACAAGGTTACGGCTATAGATTTCTGTGTCGGTTTCATATGGATTTTGATTTTTGTAGTTTCCTTGACTAACCGCCTCGTTAGCCGAGTAGTCGATAGTGCGACTGCCGGGGTCTTGGGTTCAATTCCCGGCCGGGCATAGTATTACTGTTTTTTTTTAATTCTCAGTTGTAGTACGGAGTCTGAAAATGTGCCCGGTATATGACAATAGGCTCACCCCCTGTTACATGTGACTCATAACATAAACTGAAAAGTGGGTGTTACACTGTACAGTGGCATTAAGTGCCGTAATGTGCACTTCTGACTACCCCTTCGGGGATAAAAGGCGTGATGTTATGTTATGTGTTGTTAAAGTTTTAAAGAATTTATAATTATGACAATGTCAAATAATTATCGAATTTTAAGAAAAACAAAAATCTCTTACATGTACTAGAGGTAGTCATAATTTGTTATTATTACCATTGACTAAATATCTGTTCAGTAAACATCAGTTTGAACAGAAACGTATCCCCTAAAACCATACAACGTATTATCTAAACCAACACCATACCACACAAATTATAAAGAGAAACACAAGTCCCGAAGACAAATCACTAAATTATTAACAAAGTTTACATTCCCATATTCCAATACAAATACAATATAACATCTATGTAAAGACTGGCGATGACGCGGTACGTATGCCGCACAGAACAACTCTGTGTGATCCACAAATTGATGTTCCAAGTCTGGGCGGCATGTGCATGTGAACTTGGTTTGTAGACGTCAGCTGGTTTGTGGGAGAGCCATGCTTCGGCACGAATGGGCCGGCTCGACCGGAGTGATACCACGACCTCACAGAAAACCGACGTGAAGCAACGCTTGCGTTGTGTTTCGTCGTGTGAGTGAGGTTACCGGAGGCCCAATTAACTTCCCCTTCCCCAATCTCCCCAATCCCTGAATCCCCAACGATCCTCAAACTCCTAATCCCTAAAAAGCCGGTGACGCACTTGTAACGCCTTTGGTGTTCCAGGTGTCCATGGGCGACTCAGATTGCTTACCATCAGGTGATCCGTATGCTCGTTTACCGGCTTAGGCCATAACAAAAAAAAAACGCACCCACGACACAGGAGAAAATCCTAGTAGGAGACAAAGTTCCTTTTTTTAAAAAAAGAAGAATATATTCACATTTCTATGACGTGACGCAACACACCAATCAAATAACTTCGTTCAAAATTACGTCAATCATAACTAGTTTTGTAGCCAATCAACTACTTTAAAAAACGTCAGAAGACGTCACGTTAGACAAATGTAAATGCAGCTTTATTCGACGTGTTTCAATACAACGTGACGTGACGCTGACGTGACGTCGTATGGAATAGGCACGTGCTTGAAAGCAATTTATTTCTTTAATTAGAAAATTTACATCGGTTAGCCTCGAATGGATTCACTGTTCTATTTTATATGGGTTTGTGTTAAGTAATATTCACTGGTTTGGAGTTAATTATTATTGTGTGGTGAGTTGTTTGAGATTAAATATTTTATTTATTATACTTTTGAATCAATAAAAATTGTAGATCATATCATCGTCCTATTTATTAATGATTCGGTGAAGTTCACTATTATTTTCTCGTAATGCAATTTGCAAGATACTGTTACATAAAAGGTTAGGTACTATTGAAATTAGAATTTTGTGCACGATATGCTCAATTACACCACAAAGAAATAATAAGTTCTCTAATTTAATTGGCAATTAAAGTCATGCCTACAAATCCTAATTTTCATATTTACAC